TATATATATATATATATATATACACACACACACACACACAGTCAATCATTTCTGTCACAAAGATAGATATTTCAGATCAGGTAATTATAACCTCACTACATCAATATTATATATCAGCAAGTTAAAATATTTTCATAACATAGTTCAAGTGCATGTCTTTTTATATATTACATACCATTAATTTATTTTAAATTAAAGTGCTGTATTATATTCTACAGTCTAAGTTACACCTAATCTCTAAGATAACACAAAAACAACACACTCCCACACCTACAAATACTAACACTGAAATAAAGTCCCTTTCTAATGTGCAAATCCTTGTTGGTGGTTCTATGTATAAACCACTGGAGTGAACACTAATACCACTTGGGAAATGTCACTGTTTGAATCACAATCAAAGTAAGCCTTCAAACTGTAAGACCAAACTTAACATTGCCAACAAGAGGTGGTATTAATAGGTTAAGAATACCACTCATCTTTTTAATAATTGTATTTTTGGATATGTTATCAACTTTGGAAAATGATCTCACTAATCTTAATCTGGATTATTGTAGCAGGCAAATAAATTGAAAGTTTATACTAAAGTGAAAAGGGTTTGTGTGTGTGTGTGTGTGTGTGCTTTTGGGGTACCAGCATAAGTGCATGAGAGAGAGTGTATGTGCATGCATGTGTCTGTGACAGAAAGAAAAAAATTAAATACAAAAGAGATAGAGAAAATAACAAACAATGGAAAATCAAAAGAAACGTTCATTTTTCACAAAATCCATGCAATGCACACTGATGATAAAAAAGCTGTAGCGAATAAGTCTAAGCTAGCCATTCATCACAGTTTGTCTTAATTCCCATATCTGTCACATTATGGCTCCAGTATAATGGCTGTTCATTAAAAGCTTCTCACCCTGAGCACTAAACTTAGGGCCTCTGGACGTGTCTCCCACATGCCAAACTAATCGCTTTAATCTCTGAAGTCTATTTGTGCAATCCACCCTCAGAAAGCTGTTAATTTATCAACTTTCTCCTGATATAGTCTGCCACCACACCTACTCTGGACCAAACCATGGCTGGTCAATAGATAAAAGATGGCTGATTTTTGCATCAATTTTTCAGGGAATCAATTTCTACCAGGGCAGGAAGTCACATACTGGAAGCCTTCTCTTCATGGTTCAACAAAAGGCAATTGTTTTTCTGTTTGACATTTAAATTTCACACTATAACCTTTTTCATGCACCAAGCCTATAAGTTTGCTGAATTTTTCAAGAAACAGGTAAGTAATACTACTTACTTTTAACTTAATATTGGTCTTTTTTTTTTTCTTTTTTTTTTTTTTTTTTTGAAAAGAAAAAAAAACAGATTATAAATTTACACCATGGTCATATTAACTACCTTCACCCCACAAAAATCAAGTCTTTACTCTGCCATAAGCTAAAAACTGTCAAGTTGATCATTTTTTAATTACTACTTTAGAACTCGACCATATTTCAAAGTCAAACAGATCTATCATATTTTTAATTATCATTAAACTGGGCTGTTACATCAGTATCTGTTCATACTCAGACTAACTAAGAAGATATAGAGCCAAACTGCAGTCCCAGTATAGCAAGACTGCTCATCACTAAATTTAATAATCTGCACCATTATGGTCATTTAGATTCACCTGGTTACAAGGTGAAGTCATTTAATCCACTTTTGCCACATTAGGTCCCAGTGTGAACAGTTACATTGCTGACTATAGGTATCTTTGGCTGTATGACAGTATACTCATTTTGTGTGTTTCTTTTTTATTTCACTTATTAATTTTCTGAATCAAAAATGGGGGGGGGGGCAGAAGATTACAACAGCAAAGCTAGAACACGAAAATGCAAAACAGTATACTGCATACAAAACAAATTGACAACTAACAACAACATATACAGAGACAAATGACAACATAATTCAGGTTGATATCTGGACCGATTCCATGAAAAGAAAAGTCTTCTTTTCAAGCAATTTGTTTTCATTAGGCAGTTCATCAATCTTTTGGCTCAGGCATAACCGTTCATATTATGAATTTTTAAACTCATACAAACAAACAAAAAAATACTGATAGATGATATCACAATATAAACAACCTTCTGTTATCTAAACAGCCAAGGACCAAACATCTCTATCCTACATTCCAGAATGATCTCCTTCCACTGCCTTCTAGTAGCTGTGTTAGTCCTGTGTGTTCCTATGAAGACGGTGATAGGATGTAATCCAGGGAATGTGCTATCCTGCCTAGAGACAGAATACACCTACACCATTAACAAACCTTACCAGGACCCAGACACTGGGGAGGAACTGCACTGTTATGATGAAGTCACAGTCTATGCTTGCTGTGGGAGATGTCAGTCATATGAAGTGAGTACACACACACACACATACACCAACACATGTGCACAAACACACCTTTGAACTGGTGCAAGAGAGAAAGAGGGAAATAGAGGTTGTGAACCAGAGTTATGGAACAAATACCATAGGTTTCAGTTATCGTCAGAAAAAATACAAGAATGAGTTTAAGAGAAAATAATAACTATGCTGTAATTTAATGGAAATTAAATCAGCAATTAATAGCAATTGTCAAATATCATTGAATTCAAAAACCAATTTTAATTGAAGAGAAAATGTCAAAGGCATTTCCACTATATAAAAATTTGTATCAGCTTCAGACCATACCATAATTTTCCAAAATCCATCCCATTCACTTTCACTATTGCTTTAGCTATTTTCCTCCTGGCAGCCTGGGCTATGTAGGTTTATCCCACTCTATGGTCATCAGTCACCATTACAATCAATTATGTTCAAATACCTTCCATTAATCCAAAGCTTAATGTGCCATATAAATCATGGCTACATACAATTGATGTAGCTTTCCACCCAGTTAATAGATCTTCCATCTTCAATTTCAGTATGGGGAGATAGGAACGCCATTTAAGATTAGCGAGCATTATGTGTGCACGTACAAAACCAAGACGCCGCGCACTGTGACCTTGACCCACTGTCATCCTGACCACCCGGATCCTACCGCAGAGGTGTTTGATGCAACGTGTGAATGCAGAAAATGTTCTTCAGATGACACAAGCTGTGAGAATTCATAAGACTAAATCAAATATTTATGGGACCTAAGATACTGTATTCTATCCTAAGACCGCCATAGACTACATTTTTTTTTTTTTTTTTTTTTTTTTTTTGAAAAATGCACTATGCTACACTTATTTATGTTGGATACTACATATATTTATCTAATTTCAGAACTATTTGAAATAGTTCTGAAATTAGATAAATATATGAAATAATTTCTCTAGACTTACAGCATTTGTATTTCATATAATAAGGGCACAAATCCAATGTATTTAAGAATTAAAATCTCAAAAAAAAAAAAAAGAAAAAAACATAATTCTGTATTATTCCTGGAAAACTGGACAAATTACTGCACATATCAGGACTTCTTCTGTCCCCATGGATTACAGCAATTCAAATGTCTAAATGTCACAAAAAAATGGCTTGACATTTCAACAAGCACACACTGTGGAACTTCATCAGAAATAAGCCAGGACATCACTGGTTCCTCCTTGAATAGTTTCATGTGCGGCTTTTGCCAAACAACAAGTCAAATTTTTCTAAATGTCAAATGCTTAAATGTTATCATGGATTGAATGCAACTTGACAAATGAAAGAAATATTTTTCTTTTCTCTCTTTAAACATGAAATAATTTAACCAAATTAGGTGGCACGTACAATAAAGGCAATCAGTTCACACATACATAAATATTTGATAAAAGCATTAGAAAATAAAAAGCAGACCCTTTTTGCAAATTTGTCTTTCAATTGATGACATAAAATAACTTGAAACAAAAATATTTCTGAAATCAAAAATACAAACAACACAGCTTTGCTGACATTACTGGTATGTGCTGGTAGATGTTAACACAACTGGGAAAACAGGAAAACCAATGTCAACAAATTCACTTCAACTTGCCTTGGCTGGAGGCATCTCATACTTGGGATATACTGGCTGAGGTTGGTAGGTGTGGAGAGGTGTGGGCTGCCTCCTAGGACTGGGAGGGTTTCTGCTAGGGGTGGGTGGCTGTCTACTAGGGTAGTCTGGGCTGATCTCCTTTTTCATCCTGTCCAATAGAGCCTGGTGCTTGTACAGCTCCATCTCCTGCTGCAGCTGAGTCATCTTACGGAGGTGTTCCTTCTGGAGGCGTTTCAGTTCCCTGTCCAGTTCATCTGAGAGAAAAATTGGGGGGAAATTCATTAGTTTATTTATTCTTGCTTATTTAGGATAACCTATGGTCAAATTATTTTTGAAAACACTTGTTATTCTTGTTTATGTTATCACGGTTTAAGAGCAATGTAAAATTAATAAATCTGTCACTTAACATACAAAACAAAATAACAAAGGAAAGTAACAAAACTATTTGATTTTTGATTTGACAACCAAATCTTAGAAAGTTGAAAGTGCATTTATGATTAGGGTGTTTAGTTCTACCAGACATGTAAGGTCTTGTGCACATGCTGTTAAATATGTAAAACAAAAATAGCTGCCAGTATTTCACCTTCATCATCACTGTGCCTCTTTCTTCTCTGGCTGGCCAAGTTTTGTTGCTGTAGCAACAGGAGTTCACGCTGGAGTCGCTGATTTTCAAGGTCAAAGGCCAGCAGTTGCTCTGTTAGGCTATCATTGTCTTTTTCTACAACAAACATGCAGTTATTCTACTGGACCACAAACCACTTCCACATAATGACAATTCTAACATTTACCATGCAGTAAAACTGGAATTTAGTGAACACATATGATGCCATTACTGTTTTATATTCTGAGCATGCAGTTTTATATCTAATTGTTGAGTTGTCACACCATGACTATTCTGCTGCCAATGCAGTGCAGTAATATCCATGATGAGGTACATCATAAAAAAACATCATAAATGCTATGGCACGCAACAAAATTACAAAACAGGCAAAAATGCAACCATTAGTCAGGTTAGATCTACATGTGTATGATTACTAGTAGTAGTTGCAGAAACAGCAGCAGCTAATGAACAAAATAAAACTTACTTGGTTTGGTCTTTGGTTTACTGGCTTCTCTGCTGCGGGAGTTCTGTTCCTCCAGAGCCTGAGCCTCTGCCTGCATGTCAGCCATCTGAGCCAGAACTGCTGGGTCATTGCCACCACTCTGCAAGTAGGCCTGCCGCATAGCTCTGCAAAACAGACACTTTTTACTATGATAATGAACTCTACAGGCCTGTTATGTATCAAATATTGTTCTTAAAAATATTTTACAAAATTAGATATGACTCTGCATCATTTTGAATAAGAAAAAACATCAAATTTCAACGAATTACAGTTGACAGTAAGTAACAATAAAAAACAAGGGAATTAACATTGGTTAATGCCCTGTATATTATCATGACAGCAACAGGGAATTTGGATACTTTACCCACTCTCACGTACCCAATTTCTGCCATCAAAGAATTTCCATAATAAGGAATGTTGACAGGTTGGAACTTGTTACCTTGGCCCCGTGGACTGTACCTACAGTAGGTGGAACACATTTAGAATGAGGGAAAGCTATGAGAAACATTAAGATATATGTATTAAGCAAAATAATCTCAAAAATGGCACCACTAAAGATCATCACTGTGAAAAATTTGCATACAACATACATACCAAAGCTTAAAAATTATTTGCAAAGAACTAAATATTATTTTTATGAAAGGTAATTGCACTAAACAATTATAAGACAATAATTATTATAAGACAACAATAAGACATGCTGTCACAAGGCTGGCATTAGCAGGTAGGAAACAGAACACTTGGAATGCTGAACAGGAATCAAAATATAAAATATAAAAATCAAACAATGTAATCAAACAAAAAGCAAATAACATGATAGAGGGGAACTTATTGATTCTGACAGACAAACAACAAACAAGACAAAATCATGCACAACCTCAAAATGCAAACAGCAGGTTGCCAGTGAAAGCAAGAAGTTGAGAATGTATGCCCAGTGTACCATGCCATGGCCTCTGTGTTTTCTCTCTCTGTCTGTAACCTGTTCTCAATGGATTCTAGCCACAGCCTCAGCATGCTGGGCACCTGGGATCTGCTAGCATTGACACCGGCCTGTCTTTCCACAGTGACTGGTGGCGCCATTTGTGTGGCACCATGGCCATTAGCACTACCATGTACAGGATAATACTGTTGAAATAAAGAGTTCTTTTGTTGTTCCTCAGGTTGGTAATTTACTTGGAGCTGTTGCAGATAATGTTGGGACTGTTGCTGGGACTCCAGAAACCTCTGCTGGGAATCTGGATCCAGGTGATATAAAGATACAGCTCCCTGTGGCACTAAGCTCTTACTGTAGAACTCAGGATCTGCTTCCTCGTTTTCTACAATTTCACTACATTGGGGGAAAGAAAAGCAAGAACACACTAGCTACATGAAGGTTGACTGATAAATGCAGTGGAAGCCTGCTTCCTGTTTGACATCATACAAGCATATTTTGGGCTGGGATCCATGTACTGGCATAGGGGTGCACAAGAAAAGAAAAGCTGTGTTCATTGAACACAAGATCTACAAAAGCATTATGAGAGAGGATCTAATTAGCCACATTACTAAGCACATTTTACAAACAACATCTCAAATAATTTCTTTTCTGGAATGAAAGGGTTAAAGCTAGTGACAGATCATCCAAGTTTTTTTTATCAATGATAAAAATAAATCAAACCCATACATAATACATACCCAGATTTATGTATTTCACTGAGCTGTCTTTTTAGTTCCTGGAGGGTTTTCTGATTTTTGTCTTCTTGAGCTTTCAGTTCACTTATCAATTTCTGTGTCATGTCAACTTGAGGAGCCTGAGGTCGGATGTTATTCTTCCTGCCCAATTCTTCCAACCTTCGCCTGATGTCTGAAAGAAGTCATGTATTGTATTGACAAATACATAGTATTACTTACTTGTATTGTGTAAATGCTGCATGGGTATTACAGTGAAACTGACACTCACCCGTACACACACTGAAACAGGTAATAAATGTGTTTGAATCCTTACTCTTCTTTTTTTTTCCTTATGAATCAAGTTCAGTGTAAATTTTCAAAAAAAATTTATGCCTCTCTAGGACAGCATAAACTCCTTACCTTCTTTCTGTCTCTCTAAGTCACTGTTCCTTGCTTTAATGTCTGCCAGTTGTTTCCCATGATCCTCTGCCAGTAGACGTATCTGGCGCTGATGGGCATCACGCAAGTGGTTCCTAGGGCTCTACAGATATATCCAACTTATTTCAAACTGGGTAAAACACTAAAGGCTTCACCATAGTAGCAAAAGGTAATGAATTTTGAATTTGAAACATGATTTCAAAACAAAACTTCAAATAAAGAATCCAACATATTATTTTCTCACTGTTTCACAATTGAGTAATACCACAGTTCAGTGAGCATGCTTTAAAACAAATATTTGAAAACCCATTCTCATTTGACATTTCTGCACATACATAGATTCAATATTTCTTACAATATGCAAACATAACATACGGTATATCACAAAATTATCAGTGATCTTGACCAAAATTAAACACAGAAATTTAGGACAATCATACTATACAAGTAGAAATGTGGAAAATTCTCCTAGAGTGAATTACCAGAGATATTTTAATATCTTAAAAGAATAATTATGTAACTCTAGAATAGATGATATTTGTGTGTGTGTGTGTGTGTGTGCCCATGCACACACAACTGCTTACACATACACACACAAAAAAAAAGTCATCCCACAACGCAAATATCAAAGATAAATAACAAGAAGTGGTTCAAAAAAATTTAAATGATGATATTAATTAACTATCTAACAGTTAATGCTACATGCACACTAAACACCAATATACTAGTGACCAGTCCTAGTATTATTTCAGACATATAAGTGCCTAGTACTAAGTGACTAAGGGACCATTCATATGAAAAATCTATTTTCTAATAATCTATTTTATATTCGCGGTATCTTGTGATCACTCCGAACAGCTTTGGAAGTAACTGGGTCGTGCTGCCAGTAATTACGCCGCGGGGTATTCAGGGCACAGACCGTGATCACAAGATACTGCGAATAGAAAAAAGATTTTTAGAAAATAGATTTTTCATATGAACGGTCCCTGATATTCACACAGATAATGCAAACTGGTGCATTACAAGAACAGTTTTATAAAGAAGCAAGAACATATCCTCTACTGCAGAAGTGATTTGTTAGTAAGCCACCAGGTGTCAGCAGAGTACAACTTATATCATGCAGTGCATAGTTGGAAGGCATGAAAGATGAACTTTGATTTATAGGGAAATGATTTAATCCCACCTCAAGCTGATTAATGTCTTCTTTTAATTTGTTTTCTTTCTTCCTCAACACTGCATACTGAAAAGAACAAAAGTAAACTCTCAAAAAATTTTCCAACTACAGATCATTAGTCAATAAAAATACAACTCAAATTCAGGTCTTTTTTCATCAAGCATTGTATCTTATACATTCTGTCTATACTTTTCTGTTTTGAGAGCTTAACACCTTAATAGCACAACAAATTAAGTAAGAAACACAGCACAGCATTGAATACTACAGCAGTTTCCACTCAATAACAAACTGTTCATTGTCTACCATATTTTTACTTTATTAAAGCATGCATGGTAGAACTTCAATCCATACAGTAGGAAACAAAACTGTGAAAGTAATTACATGGTAGGACCTCTCAAAGCTAAATGCTTACAGTAAGGTGTAACTCTTCACATAAATAGGCCTTTTCTGAAACCGTTTGGAAAAATATTTTTTACTGAAATTTTTTAAAACAATATTTTATACTTTCCTACCTCCCTCTGCAGATCTCTGAGCTCTGTGGAAGGTTGTAACTGAGATAGTTTTGGAGACAGCTGATGTCTTTCTAGATACTCCAGGTCTCCTAGCAGCATCTTTTCTTCCAGATACTGAGAGGCACGCAACCTGGACCGTCTGTTCTTAAGATCCTGCAGCTCTTGTACCTTTGTTTACAAATGTCTGACATATGTTAATATCACTGACTTTACATATATCTGTTACAGAAACCAATTATAAAATATTTCATGCTTTTATTCTAGGAACACAAAAATTTTAAAGCTCCCACACTTTTTAGCTTTAAACATTGGAAAATCTTTTTAAATGTCTTCTCAAAGCAACATAAGCAAGACTTAAAATACAGTATATATGCTATGAAGTGAATTTTAGACCCCATTCCCATTAGAACCATCAGTCTAAGTCTAGATCTACCCAACTCCTGGAGGACTCTTGCTGAATGTAGTTAAATTTATCAATGACAGGCCTCCTCTTGTTTCCAATGTACTCTATATAATCACCAGCTTTTCTGTATTCTACTCAGTGCAATGAGGAGGCATGTCAATCAGTTAAGCTGATTGCACTCAGTGATATTCCTTGCAGAGTTGGATCGATCTACGTAGATGAGATGGGGATGGGAATGAGGCCTTAAATAAGCTGTAAAACTGCAATTCTAAAATAATCCTTCTTTGATGTGCGGTAAAGAATAAGATGTTAATACCCAAACAGAAAAATATTACGGATAAAATAAATACCCAAAGATATCAGAGCTTTTACAGAGCTTTCATTTAACTTTAACTAAATGGAGGATAATGGAACATGCTCTGACTATTTCACTTCTACTTATATCACAATTATAAATATTACGTTTTTTTAATGTTAATTGAAAAAAAACACTTTATTTCCCATATAACTTGTTAAACTATACAGACACATTATCAACTCAATGTTAATATGAACTACAATAACAAATTAACTCAATTCAATATCAAAGCAATTAGAAAGCATGCTCACTGACAGGCACACACTAATGTCAACACAGATCACAAGAGTCAGTATACAAACATCAACACTGGAAGACACAATGTGCAAGCAAAAGGTGTGTTAGAAACATAAAGCAGATAAGATTCCTCAGTGCAGTGTTAACTTGACACACAAAGACTAGATCAAACATTAATCTTTTTCAAAATTGATTTTTAGATTCAACCATTTATCATCTATTTTTAGATATTTTGCGTAATTATATTCAACTATGCATTTGAAAATCCGCCAGATAAGTTAATGTAAATAACTAGATCAGTATGTAAACAGCTAGGTTAAGCAGGCATTAGATCAGTTATAGACACATCTTACTTGGGTCATTAAGTTAAGAAACACCAAACAAAAGAGTAAATTAAAGTGGGTGCGGGCTATGTATTGCTAGGTTAACTTACCTTTTGACTACTTAAAAATCCATCTGACTGGGGCTAAAACAAATCAGAAAAAATATAGAGATGTTCTTCATAAATATGATGTGGGAATTTTTGAAACGATGACTGATGAAACAGACATACTCATAAGGTGCTTTGATCAAAAATACTAAAGACTATATACTGCATTTACTTTGTATGAAATAAAACATATATATTTCTTTTTCTTGGCTGACATATGTTTGTCTATGTTTGAGGTGTTGATTTATATGTATCATGGCTATATTTAACTATGTCAACATCCTATCATAATTTTTTTAATGTTTCATTTTTAAAATCTTCATTTCAAATTTCTTTTTATTTATTTCCTTTTTTTCATTCAATCTGAAAGTGCATGCGATTGCTGATTAACTAAATTCTGTGTACATATACAGGTATAATGCTTATTGCACATTCTTTGTTCATATGAAAGTGTGCATGAAAGTGTCACTTGAAAAAAAATGAATACAATTAAAACAGATTTGATAGTAGAAGAGTATAACTATAGAGACAAAAAAAAAACAACTACTAACATATTCCATCCTTTTCATGAAAAAATTATAAGTAGTTTTTCAAAATATGACTCATTTAATATTTTCAACAATCTTGCAAGCAATTCAGTTGAACACCCAGAGCTGTTGCTATAAACAACTGATTGTAACCATGGTAACAATGTAACCAATAATTTAAGGTAAGCTTTGTTGGCAAACATGCGAATTAAAAGCAATCAATAAAAGCAAATCCATGTCTTATCTTGTGTTCAGAGATTGTGACCATTGCTTGACATTTCACTAACACTGGGCACAATTCACTGTGGAAGATTTTAATAGATATAAAAACCATATCAGCAAACTGCCTTCAGTTTACATATCTAAATGCCTGGAATGCAAGCAACACATGCATGTATCAACTATATCAACTTTTGAAATATCAAAATAGCTATAGCAAATGTTTATAAGAAATTTGTTTTAACTATTAAAAAATTTATTTTCAATCTACATGGCATAATGAAAATACTATCAAACCGAAAGAGTGCTTGTCTCCTGTATGCAAGGTTGTGTGCTTTTATCTGTTCAAACCAAGATCCTATCATAAAATCGGCTCCTACTGTCTCTACAAAAAGCACTCAGCATATTAACATAAAGGGTGAACCAGGGGGTTAAAACCTGATTATGTCAGACCTGGTTATCAATGATAATGATATGTGTCACAGGTGCTACAGCTCAGTCTCTGCTCTTCAGGGAAGAATTCAGGACAGAACAGATCCATAATGACCAGGGATCATTGACTGTCAGCTCAACTTGTTTATCAAGGCTAACAGACTACAAACCAATCTTTAACCTTTAATCTTAAGTGACATTTTATCTTACTTCTATCTGGAAAAAGGCAACATTCACAGTCTTTGCTGACAGCATGGGTACCTTATCACCAAACTATATCAATGTAAACATCAATTTTGTCCATTAATTTGAGAAAAGTCCACATAACAATCTATACTCAACTAGGATGTTATTTACATCTGAATGTATACTGCATAAAAATGTCACCTCAGACTCTAGCGGTGGACAAGTGGGCCACCTACAAGACTTGCACACTCCCTGTTCATGCCAGTATGAATTCAAATCAAAAAGATGAATTATTTATATCCTTCATTTTCTTTGGCTAAAATAGCACAAATTTAAGGCATGCTACATGCACTAAGACAACAAAACAGTTAAATTATAAATATGAGTACTTACTCGTTCTTCCACATGTTGTTTTGGTCTCTTTTCTTCCTCAGCAGTTCTCATTCTCATCAGTTGCCGAGGATCTCCTATCACTCCACCAACACAGAATTTACTGCGATGTTTGGCCAGGAGAGTTCGAGACTTGAACATCATGTTACATTCACTACACCGTAACACTGGTTCACTTGCCATGTTGCAGCTGAAATGTTTATGACAGGCTTCAAATATACCTTCTACCTTTTGTGACTAGACACCCTTGATATCGTAATAAGCTACTGATGCATCTTGCATATAAAATCATTAGTAGTCTGCAATACAATGTGTTTGATGGGGATTTATGAAAGACATGACATGAAATTCTTAGCAATCTTGTAAATCAGCTTATCAGAATGGAAATTACAATGACATGTCAAATATTTAATCTATCCCAAATTGCAAAAAAAAAAATCAGAATACAAATTCAATATTTTTGTTATCAAATATTTAATCCAACCCAAACTGCGATAGAAACAATAAGAATACAAATTTAATATTTTGTTAAAGGGTTTTATTTATTCTTTTATAATTTGATAAATATATATTTCCCCTACATGGTATGTAAGTGCTTAATGTATTTTAGATTTTCAATGACAACAAAAGTTTTTATTCTCAATTCACATAAAAGATATTTTTCAAAACTCACCATTCAACAATATCAAAAGATTTAACTTATTACTTATATTAAACAGAGGCTTAGAAAGCCAAAGATCTCTGTTAGCAAAAAGAAAACTTCATGTTTTCCTATTCCTTCCAAAGGTTTTTTGTAAGTTTTTTTTATCTGCAGACAGTCGGCATTCACGTAATGACCAGCCACAGGTTTCCTCAGACTTGACTTCAGTTCTGCGTGCCAAAGCGTTTCGACGTAAGACCTTAAACTGGGTTTGAGAGAGGCAAAGAAACGAGACAGGCAATAATAATCTTTACATTTTCAATTTGTTTCTTCACTTCTTCAACAATACGAAAAATAGCCATACTTACCCTTTCAGCCTGAACGCTTGCACTATCAGCTGTCGATGTTTTATTTGTTTACACTGCCCGCCATCATGAAACATTCATAATATGAAGCTACTAGTTGGACGTGCTTTAGTTTACATATTAGGGATCCATAACAATATCAATTTAAAAGCGATAAAACATAAAACTATCGACAAGTATTCTAGCAAGTTAAGATACTCAAGGGGATATAACCACAAACAATCAAATTAAATATTATACGAAACTAATATATTATTTGAAACTAGCTCAACAGGTGCGTACTATCAACAATGGCGGGAAGTGAAGAGGACTCGGAAATTTTAGAAAACACAGTTGACAAGGACAGCCAGCAAGAACAAAATGCTGATAGGTCAGAGCGTGTTGTAAAAATCCCTATGGCTAGAATAAAAAGTTTAATGAAATGGGATCCAGATGTTACCCTTGCCAGTCAAGAGGCGGTGGTTGCGATAGCCAAAGCAACGGTGGGTACACACATTGACAATTCTAATGGAACACATTGACAAATGTAATGGAAATAGTAAAAGTAGACAGTAATAAGATTATTCTTTTAACTGACTTTCTATTGCCATAGTCAGGCTATTGTCAATCACGCAAAACATATTGGAGTGGTAACGGTAAGATACAGCGCTTAATGTGAAAAGACCAAAATATTTTCAATGTGTTTACTAGTAGAGCATCTTATACATGTACCATAAGTTCATAACTATAATTAGTTGTTTTTTTTTTACAATTACTATGACTTCATGCTGGATCGAAACAGATTGTTTTGGACTTTATTTGAGAACTATGGACATCTTATCTTTGTTTAATTTTTTTATAATTATAGACGGCTCTTCTGCAGAAGCCATTCGTTTTCATTTATACTGCTTTGTAAAATTTGGAATAATTTATTAAACTTAGGTGATTTTTCAGGAATTATTTGTGGGAAATCTTGCCAAAGAAGCATACCTATATACAGCACAAGGCAAAAGGAAAACTGTACAGAAGAAAGATTTGGGTATGGCCTCTTTTCTTAAATGTATTTTAGTAATATGTTATTTAAAGCATATGGTTAAACAGATGTTTGCACAGATTTAAATTTTCCAGCATACTGAATAACATTGTTTATTTATTTACAGAACAAGCAATAGACAGTGTTGATGGACTTGCTTTTCTAGAAGGTTAGTATCATTTTCAAGTTATGGTGAACAGAAAACTTATGGGGAATGATGGCAAAAATTATTTCTGGTGATGAAAGTGACAAACTGCTTGTACTTTGAATGCTATCGAGTCTTAAAACCACATGAAACAGTTTTAAACTACCGTGATACTAGAAATATTTGATTACCGCATTAAACTGAAGTCTCATTTCAGTTCAGTGTTCATCTGAATAATGAAAATTATCCCTACTTGATATATTTCAGGAGCTTTAGAATCATGACATCAGAATCTTCATTAAAAAGAAAAGAAAAACATTTGCAGTTCTTAATGGGTACATTGCGCCAAAAGAAAAGGCTATTCTCATTTGAAATGATGCTGTATTATAAGAGATCAAACAATTCTCAAAGAAGAGTCCCTAAAGTTTTTGCTGATTGCTGGACAAGGACTTGTCACAGTTGATTTGATGCAGGTTGAGCAGGAAAATGGCATATAATGCACCATGGATAGATGAAAATGAGACAGATTCTTATTTTTTGTACCTTGTTTACTATTTTATAAAAGTCTCTGCGGTACAAATGTTTGTAAACAAACCAAAATTGTGTAAACAAAATTTCAACTGATTTTGCAAGATTATTATTGTGATTAGTTGACTTTGTAATGTGAATATAAAATCGAATGTTTTCATTAAAATCAAGGAACCAATTACAACCTGAAAATAAAAATGTGAGTAGTACACTACGCCCTTTTAATATGCAACATTAATTCATCTCTGGCTTGAGACGTGGTTATCAAGCAGTCCACCATATACCTTGAGTAGGATCAAACTTTTGATCTCCAAACAACGTCTTTATCCTTTCTGATATTTCACAGAGCCCCAGCTTGGCTCAACTGATCAAAATAATACTATCTTTTTCATGTTCTAATTAACAGTATGCTTGCATAGAAACTGTGATGTACGCCTCTTCGGACTTGATATCTATTCAAAACCAATGAGCACTAACTTATGTCAGAGGTTGCATGATCTGCTGTAACAATCAAAAGTTAAATTTTCATGTTATACCTTTATAATTTCTAGGCGTGCATTTGAAAAATAGAGGCACGTAAAAAATCACTTGTTTGCAGTGTCCAGTTTATGAAGGAAATGAAAAATGTTTCCAATGCTAAGCCGTGTAGTTAGGGTGTGTTGAGTTAGTGCTTTCTCTTGCGTTTTTTCTTCTTGTAAGTGTTCACATCCGGTTGCTGTGCCTGGTTGCTGTTCTGACTGCCACTTGGCTTGGGAACATCCCGGCCACCACTAGTCTTGTGAAACAAATGGTTCAAGAAGTCCTCCAATTCAGCTTCTCTGAAGTAAAACATGTATATTAGAAGTTCTGGCTGCCTGCAGTGATGTGTATCCAAGACATCATATACCAAGATTCTTGACATTTTATCAAATAAGGTATCAGCTAAAATAGCTTTCTTTCATTTTCTTTCTACTTTCATGTGATTCATTTTTTATGCAAAACATACATTACATGATAGATAATTATATTACCCTGTATTCCCCACAGAGGCCGTCTGCTGTCTGTTGGCACCAGTCTGCAGTTTGTAGAACACGTGATGAGCATTAGCCTGAATGTGTTTAAAGTGGTCCATCTGAAAAGATGAAATTTCACAGTACAAGATGTGTTGGATAGGGAACATACACACAAACTTAGTTTGGTATTTGGTAAATGTAAAATGCCATTCCATGGTATAAAATTAAGATACAATTCCAAAACAGAAATATCTGTGATGCCACCTTATCTGTATATAGTACACTACCCCCTTCTCTTCAATCTATGTTCCGTGTTTAGTGCATATAATAATAATAATAATAATAACCTATAGGCCAGTTTGTGATTGTACAATTTGTCTCACATTTAGATTGTTATCTGGGGCTTTCAATATAACAAGAATGTAGAGTGAAAGGACACAGTAATACCTGGTGTGCAGCCCAGTCTGTGATGTTGTACACTGCACCTTCCATACATGCATAGTAATGCCATTTGAATCCTAACCAGGTAGTCTCGGCCCAAACATCACCCTGGAACAACATACACTTTAAATTAAGTAAAACTGATACATACACAAGCATTATAACTCGTAGAACTTCATGACATGCTTCCACTGTTGTCCTTAAGTTTTTAGCATCTTGCAAACATAAAGTCTTATTCACTATTTAATGTAGACACACTGTTACTGGACATCATAATGTTAAATCTGAATACTAAAAATTGAAGTCTTATTTTCTCATCAAAGTGGTACACAATCAACCGACTTCAGTAATATGTGTTTAACACTGAGTGGAGTGCAGTCAGTCTTCCTCCTTTAGAGAGTGGTGTGTAACAAACCTACCTCTTTGACAGAGTGGTGTGCCTGGCATCTATCACAATAACGAGCACTATACCACGGACGGTTCACAGGGTAGCGACGATGCTTGCCTCCGCAGTGATCACAGCGCATCAAGTTGGCGGCCTAATGAAATAATACAGAACATTTTAAGTGGGCACAACATTTCAAATATCAAGTGTAAGTTCAATGTCCGTTATTTTATATTTATTTATTATTATTTTTTTTTGTTTGTTAAAAACCAATGCTCATGTATAAATTCAAGTAAACCCTTATAGACACTTACATCCTGGAATTACTGAAACACATCTACTACAGAATTTTCTACTCACCTCTTCCATTTTTTCATGCAACTTGGACAACAGATCAGTGAATTCTTTCTGTAAAATTAAATAAATTATTACTTCTGAGATTATTCTCTGTTCAAAAATCATTTTGGCTGACAAAAGTACTAGTTCTTTTATTGTCATCAACCTTTTTCTTTTTTTCACTGTTGTTATTCTATAGTATTTCTTCTTGCAACAGTCATCAATTTCAGTTCTTAAATCATGTATAAACACCCTACCATTGCAGCCTCCATCTCTTTGGACTTTATAGTCTGGTCGTTGTAGGCCTTTCTTCTTTCCTAGTAAATATGACCAAAATAATGTGCTTATAGAATCTTATTGACACCAGAGATATTCAGAATGGATGGAAGGGCATTCCTTTAGGCAGGTTCTGATGTGTTGATGCAGGTATGAGTGCTTAATTCATACACTGGTTTTGGTTTCCATTACATAATAAGATGATAATGTAAAAAAGGCAAACACCAACAAATGCAAAATACAACCAAGACTGTAATCCATCTATTAACCTTTTAATAGTTATTTAACCAAATTAAATTTTTTACCGGTTCTCCTATAATCTCAAAAGCATGTCCCAGTATCTTGAAAGCTTCCTCTGCACCTAGTTGTTTGTTCTGAAATAAAATCATGACTATCAGACAGCTCTTCCAATATAAAACGCCATTTCTCTAAATGAAACAAACTAAAAACTTCAATAAAATGTTAATCATCATAAACATGATAAATAAATCTTTACCATTTTTTTCTGGTAGTTGACATATTTCAACTAGAAACACAAATCACTAGAAATCTAACCTGCTGTTTTGGGTTCCTTTTTAAAATAGTCCAAAGATCAAATTCAAAAAGACTGGGATAAAACTGAAAAATAGTCTACACATTAGCAACTGTAAACTGTTTTCAGTATAAATCCAATGAAACTGTACCTTGTCTGGATGAACTAGTATTGCCTGCCGTTTGTAGTATTTTTTCACTTCATCATCAGACACATCTGAGCGTAAACCTAAAATACTAATAAAAAATAGAGCATTAACTTAAAACACTAATAAAATATCTTTCTTTGAAAGCATATCCACAACACTACACCAAACTTACTTTTTACATTTTTTTTTTTTTGGGGGGGGGGGAGGAGAGAATGCTCCATACTGGCTACTCGCAAATTGCAAATGTGAAGAATAATTTATTGTGAATGCTAAAACAGATAATTGGCAAGTAAAAATCCCTCCAAAGAAAAAACTCACTGAACTCCATAAATCCATAGCAATTACAATCAAAACACTTTGAGTTCTACTACTGTTGCAATTAACACACCTTCACCAATTCACAGTCGCACCTCACACAACCATGTGTAACCAATCTTCACAAGAAATATACTGCTAAAATTGTTTACCTGTATGGATCCTTCCCTTTGCAAGCTAAAAGTCTTTTCATTGCTTCTTCACCTGAAATTTCATTTCCCACAATCACATCATTAGAGACATAAAACCACACATGAAAGCTATATTGAACAGTGTGCAAAACTTATTACTACTTTTATTAATTTTATCATTATTTATTTATTTTATATCTATTTATTCATTTTTTTATACTGACCAAGTTGGTCAAATGGGAGTGGTATGCATGAAAATGATAACCAAAAGAATAAGTCAAACTTGACATGTAGGTCTGCTTAAACATTTGCCAGAAGAAAACTGCATTAGGATGTGGCTTATCTGCATTCTGTGTGGAATGTGAGCAAAGGTTTTGGTCAGAGTGACGATGAGGGTAGGTTGTGGGTTATTGTCTTACACTGGTTTGTTACTGTTTGTTTTCTTTAAAATCCTAATTTTACTGCACTTACTAATGAGCTTTCAAACCTCTATCACATTATTAGGCAATCAGATTGCACTCACTTGTTGCTACTTAACAAGTGACACCCATGTCTGTTTGAACACAACCCCCTCCCCTTTCCAACACTGCCAATATTATGCAGGCACTTGGTCAATGCTGAGTATAAAATGGAAACATGTAAATTAGGTTAAAATATTTGCCATTTTGTTAGCACACAGCCTCTTCTTAAATTATCAGCCTAAATATGAAAACCATAATGATCTATACTAAGAGATACTGAACTGAAAATAACCATCCTCCTGAAGGCAGTATAACCTCCAAGTGTACATAAATAGCTCACCTGTGGTTGGCAGCTGTATGTTTTCTTCCAGGCCAATGTGTGTATGGGACTGTGATGTTCCATCCTGCCCTCGGCCCCACCATTTCCAACGTTTCTTTACTTTATTTGTCACAAATGTCCAAATGCAAGTATAGACAACTGACACGTAGAATGAGACATTACTTACTCTGAAATTAAATCATTAAGATTTGTGTATTTTGAAAATATTCTATTTGATTACCATGTCTATCCTCCTTCATCCAACATCATATTGGTGAACTTATCACGTTCCAAAATATGGAAAACTAACAAATTTTTTTTTAATATGTAGAAGTTGTAGTAATACTGAGTAGTTGTAGAGGCGATACTTACATGAGCCAGACCAGTCTAAATAGCACCATGAGGGCAACCAGCACCCAAAGCAAGGCTTCTGTCACAGCCCATTTCCCAAGCTCAAAACCTTTGCCTAGCCAGTCACCTGAAATATATAACACACCATAGATCACTACCTTTCCCTGGCCAATCACCTGAAATATAACATAGCATAGATCACTACCTTTCCCTGGCCAATCACCTGAAATATAACATAGCATAGATCACTACCTTTCCCTGGCCATTCACCTGAAATATAACATAGCATAGATCACTACCTTTCCCTGGCCAGTCACCTGAAATATAACATAGCATAGATCACAACCTTTCCCTGGCCAGTCACCTGAAATATAACATAGCATAGATCACAATCTTTACTTAGCCAGTTACCTGAAATATAACACCTCATACTTTCCACAGATCACAACCTTTCCCCAGCCAGTCACTTGAAAAATAACATTTCATAGATCACAACCTTTCCCCAGCCAGTCCCCTCAAATATAATAATTTACCACAGATATAAACCCTGTACTTCAGACTTTCTTAGGCAAATTTGATAATTATCAGGATATTCAATCTGCTCAAACCTCTAATGTTTACCATATCGGAACCTGTCCATCAAACCCTTTGTCACCACAGCAACAAGACCACAAGCCATATTCATGGTTGGGAGAGCCACATACACATAGATATTTCCAGATACCACCTAGGGCTCAGTAAACTGGTCAGATGTATACAAGCACAATCCGGGAGATTTCAATTTTTAACTATTATATTAAAACAGAAGAACAAGAATCAGAGTCTGATAAATATGCATGGAAATGTGAAAAATGAAGAAATGGCAAATTAAAGAACTGATGGTGAAGGCAGCCATATGAAGACACCATAGACATTAGTAGAAATAACTTACAATGAAAACAAGCATAGTTTATGCTTTTACTGGATTTCCCATTTTGTATTAAGGATCCTGAATATCAACATGCAACAAATAACAACGCCTAAATAAGGATATTATAATGCTGAATATTTACCATAAGTAGGTCAAATACTGATTAGGTTCATCAACTCCCCAAAAAGGCCTTTTAACATTTTAGCATATACATGTGCTAATTCAAAAGAAAAGATATATCTTCTAATTATCTCTCAAACATGACCACATCACAACTATTAGTCTATAAAAGGTTCACTTCTGAAAATAAAATGGGTTTCAAAATCAGCATATACTGAAATCCTTCTCTATCTACAGCTAAAGGCATCATGTTATCAGCCCCATCTAGAAGGCAACTGAAATCCTTCTCTATCTATAGCAAAAAAATAACATGTTATCATCCTCATCTAACGGGCCTCACAAAGTCACTTATAACCAAGATTATTATGGGGCATGGACAAGGCTATCAGTCAAACAACACAGGCCAGGGTGTAGCTACATGTACACTCATAAGCAGTGAGCATACATGCATAAATACAAAAAAATTTTTTTTTGATAGAAATATAAAGGAATGTATATGATTAACGCCAAGGGACCCATTTTAAACAAGAAATGACTTTTCCTTGTCCTGCTCAATAGTAGATTACTGTATTTATAAATGTTCTTGCATATTTCTAATTTTTATGGCAATTCTTTTTATCATTCAAAATAAAGGGGAATTATGTGCACATAACTTAAATTCTTGACGATTCAACATCCAAATTCTTACTTTTCTAACTGAATTAAATGTGGATTTGTTTTGTGCACATTTTGAAAATAAAATGTTTGCAGGGTTTCCATTCTCTTCTTTAAATTAAACTTAACATCATTTTAAGTTTAATTTTGCAAAATTTTCCTGGAGAGGACCCCCATACAGCCATAAGCAAAGGGGGCCAACCAACTCCCCAACCCTCCCCCCCCCCTTCCCCCCACCTCCACAGCTGCCAAGTTAAAAACTCAATACAAAAAGTAGGGAATTTTAGCCTAGCTATGCACCTGAAGGTACTTATCATCTTCAAACATTTTAATATGGTAGCGATTTTTTTTAAACTTTCTTTAACAACTATGAATCCAATATCAAAGTATCATTTTAATACTTTACACACATGATTACAACACAAATTTGCAAACAATGAAAAGCTATACAAATCCTACAGATATCCATCCAAGTATTTAGCATCTGACATGTTGCCTCACTGCTATAGGAACAATCCTGCAAATTAACCATAACACCTGCACCAGCGGCCTTAAAGATGTGGGACATCAGTCGTTTTATAGAACTCCTTATCAACCTCTGATATACACTGATATAACCTCCTACAGCAGGCAAATATGTGTTAATAGTGTGTGCGTCCTCATTTACCCCACCCACTGCAGGGTATCCAAGCCCAACTTCCTCCCCATCTACCTTGGCAGTGTTAAATTCCTAGTTCTCTCTATAGTGGTAATAATGAATAGAGAAAAATAGGCCTTTTTTCCGCGCACCCTTTATCTGTCCATACCTCCCCGCCTGCCCCATGATGCAACTAGACACAGAGGAATTCATTTAAACAGAGAAGAAACTTCAACATCTTTTGCCTAGTATTCATATCAAAATAAAACAATCAGTAAATATGACCTAGAAAGTTAAAAGGGAAGGTACAAAACACTGTTACTGTCCATAGGAAATGTCCCCAAAGTAAATCCCATATGAAAAGACAACAGATATATAATATATTTCTCCTGAAAATGCACTTAAAGCCAGGAGAGACTAAAAATTGTGCTCATGTTCCTTATCAAAGAAGGCACTCCAATTTAAAACCAAACATACATATACACACACATTTATTTCAGATATTAATGTCTGAAGTATCTTCAAACTTGTAAATGTACTATTCAGCTATTACGTGATATTAGTCTAATCAAGTGAAAATAAACCAACTCCATGTGACACAGCTTTGGTCTTCCTCTTCCTCTTCCTCAATTAGCTACTAATTACCAGATATGAAAATACTTATGATCACTGTGCAGTGTGCTAGCCTGATGCAGGAAAACATGTTTACAGGATGCTCCTGCAGAGTTTATATTAACTAATCACATATCTACCTAAACATGATAATTCATCTAAAAAAGAGCTATAAAAAATAATAGAGTTTTGGTTCCACATAATGGCAACTAGAATATTAAATCAGTAAACACAAAACACTATATCTACCTGTCAAGAACGGATTCAAAGAAAATACTCAAATGTAGATAACGATAACAAAATATTCTATAATTTTCCATAACCAAATTATAAAGTGTTTAGCATTTGGTTCAAATTTACTACATTTAAATAAAAAAATATGTTTTCACACATCTGCTAATGTTAAAATCATTCTCACCTATAGGATTGTGCTCCTTCTTCTGCTTTCTATTTTTACGACCAGTATTTTCATTGTTAACATTATTTTTTGAGCTTGTCCCACTTTTCCTAGACCCCCCACCAGTGCGAGTAGTCTCACTAGGAGAGGAAGACTCAGTCTCGTTGTAGCTGGTGGATGCATTCTTCTGCTTCTTGGAATCTGACCAGTTGCGCAGATCATTATTTATATAAGTAGAACTTGTCTTAGGTCCATGACCTGTTGAAGGTGTAGTGGAAGCCCTATTGTTGAGGAGAGTCTCCTCTTTATCAATGGAATTAACAGACACCAAGGAGTTCTGTTTACCACGACCCTGTCTTTCTTCTTTCTTATCTTTACCACCTGGTCTCTTACTCTTGCCCCCTGTATCCCTCTGATCTTCCTTAGTGCCTGTGTCAGTCCTCCCATTCTGAAACGGTTTCCCCAGGGTGATATCATCCAAGCCACTGGTTGTGCTGGCCTGGCTGCTGCTGCTCCCTTTACGACTGCTAGACACACTATCAGTGGCCACCTCCTTCACCAGGGATGGGGGCACCTGAAAGCTGTCTAGGCCATACTTAGAGTCAGGGCTGGGAGCACTTTTGTTATCAACTGACCCTACTTTAAATTTGGTGGTAGGGAAGAAAGGGCGTGGCTTGGCCCGTCTGAACCCTGGAGGAGGCACTGAGGGCTCTGTGTCTCTGGCTGGTGTCATGACTGGTTCACTACGCCGATGTTTTAGCGGTGCTGGCCCTGGTGCTTTGTTTTTGGCCACATCAGAATAGGTAGGTTTTGTACTGGAGTGAGTTGGAGAGCCTGCAGAGGCCACCGGGGACATCCTGCCTAAACCATCACTGCCTAGGATGGGTGAGGTACCAAATGGGTCATATGTACTCCTAGGTTGTTGTGATGTTGCAGCAGCAGTAGCATTCCATTGATGCAAGGCACTAGCGTACAAGTCTCTGCCCTCCTGCACCGCATCAGGCAAGAAATCTGTTCCTGAGCCCAAGCCATCTAATGTGCCATAGAAACCATAGAAACCTTGGTCACTGGATACCTCTGGCATGGCCTCACTGTGGCTGGTTTGGCTTAGAGAAGCCAAAAAGTCCTCATAGCTTGCGAAATTGGAAGGAGAAGCAGTGTTGGCAGCTTGATTAAAACTGTCATTTTGAGAAAGAAAGTCCCAATCCAGCCCACCACTGGCAGTAAAACCAAAGTTCCCCCTCGGGCTGTCATCAGTCACTGTGGACCAGGACTGATAATTCTCAGGCAAACCTTCCTGGGGGTTAGCTGGGGTATTGCATGGAGCACTAAAGTCATAATTTGGACCATTTCTGGCAAGTTCTTTCAAAATTTCTTCAAATCCTGGCACTGTGGGTACAGGTTCAGATTCAGTGGGCACAGGGAATGTGTTGGCCCTCCTTCGATCACCTGGCTTGTGATCCATCACTCTGAAAATACTAACAGATATCACAATATTATATAACACTTAATCTGTATTTCCACACAGGACTAGCAACAATTACCACAACAGTATATGAAACCAATAATATTCAGATGCCGTCACAATGGTTTAAATGTGCCTTGTGGTTACTGTTAGCTGTTAACAACTAGATGGATATCTCTCATAAGTTAATAAGTTTCTCATGCACACATTTATATATATAGTAAAACATTTATTATCATTTCATTAACTATACAGAAAATATGATAGCTGACGTATTTTTCAGAATTTTTATTTTCAAACATGACACTCTTCTCAGTAATATTTTTATGTTCACTGCAAACTACAGCAAGGCATAAAATAGACATAAAAGTGTTATCTTCTAATAAAATCAACTTATCCACTTGGGACCAACTTTACGAACTTGTCGTAGACAAGTTGTTCAACTTTCGACTTTATCGGCAATGCAGCGTCTGGTGTTGGTCTAGATAAGCATGTCCACTTTTTAGTGAACATATTTTCAAACAAACATTCACCATTGTATATTTTCTTTCTTAACTTAAAAAAACAAAAGAATACAACCGTCAAAATATGAGATTTACCTTTTCCTTCACGCTTCCTCGCGTACTGCCTGAGCAGCCATTTTGAGATCTCGTATTATCTCGTTTACCCCGTGAAAATAATTTGGCAGTTTTTATGACTTAGACCTACGATATTCTACAAACAGTGAAATTTTCTACGACAATACATTTGCATTGTAAATTCAATACAGGAATTACCCCCGGTTTTATGAGACACTATGATGTGCAACCAAATTTCATCTTTTAAAGGCTAGACTACAGTAAAAAAATTACTTCCTGTAAAATGCATGTAGGCTACTCCAGTAGACAAATTTGTCCGTTCGAAGTGAAAATGCAATGAATAAATAATAGTCCCCTACCGTTTACTCGGTTTACTTCCTTTGAATTTTATCTTAGTGGCCAGAAAGATGAAAAATGTGTTAAAATAGACCTACTTGAGTTTGAAACTGAATTAAAAGTTTTCGTTCTGAAGTTGTAGAATAAAATGAGCTGATGCTTCATTTTTGTAGCTCTAACAGACCACGATATGGTGAGCTTGCACATTATAAATACACAAGAGAAGCCTTAAATACATCCTACTAAACACATTCTTTTCAAACCCATAACTATGTTATTATTTATGTACTTTTTTTATTCATGTTTTATGTCTTATTTTATTTATTTATCTTTTACCTTTTTTAGAGAAATAGCCTTAGGCCTATAGGCCTATTTGTGTGGACGTAGGCTACATGTACATGTACATGTATTTAGACCTACTGGTATAATGCCTTAGAGGTTAAAAAAAAACATTTATTTGGAGATTCTGCAAATAATAGAATTTACTCTCCTCCAAATCTAGGACTAAAGAATATTGAGTCCAAATGAAAATGCCAACACTGCTGCTCCTTCCATTGTTCCAATCTCAGTGAAGTGTGTCGACTAAAATTAGGGTTTATTTTGGCTTCTTTGTTACCAATGAATTACTAGTGCGCAGGCCCCATTGTCTTTATAGGCAAATTCCATATCAATATTTAATTAAGTTTCGTGATTACATATAAATGCATTTTAATCGTATTTATTGTACAAAATGTTACAGTGGCGACTGTATGAGATTTAATCAGAAGTTGGTCCCTCGTTCATTTATGAAAAAGTTCCAATGAGGTAAAAAATGATCACATAATCTTGTAAATTGGCCATATCCGATCATATCAGACAATGGCAAGAAAGCTTTAAAACTGTTCAGTGTGTACGAAGGTATTGTGTTAGGAGCGATGGTTAACTCAACAGTTGATGTTCCGTACTCGCCGATATGTTGAATTCTGTGCTCTTATTTTGTTCACTGAGAAACCCGGCTGAAAAACTCAAATTTTCAATGATTTTTATTCCCAAGCAGGCCTTATCATTAATGCGTCGTCATATAGATTACTGTTTATCATAGTCTAGGTTTCTCAAAACAGCGGACCATCGCCCGGAGGACTGATGAGAGCTAGTGAGAATGTTTTTTCTCAAGGTTGCCCCGAGTTTCAATTTTATACTTGAATTATCCTACAGCAAAAGAAATTAACAAATTGGCTGAAGGGAGTACAAGATATAGATTGAATCAATATTGTTAACTTCATTAATTAACAGTTGAAAATATAGGCCTCTTAAATTTAAATTATCTTCAGAAAGAATATGAAAATTAATATAAAATTACTGGCAGAAAATTCATAAACTTTAAAATGTTAGTAGTCAGTATACGCAGTCCGTCCATGACAGACCTGTGTTTTTGCACCTGCAGCACGTGCCGCCAAAAGCACTGTCATTGACAACACAACTGAGGTTCACCACATCGGCCAGCGCTTGAGCTACTGGTGCTCTTGAGACAGTCAGGGTGATGGTTGATCCTTTTATCAAAAATTCACTTCTGTATGATTTTGAGAGGAAAATGCTCGTGGTCCGTTTATTTTACTTCTCTTCCCATAGGGGGTGTATTTCTGTTAAAGAAAAAAAAAACTTTACCTGAAAGAGCATTGCAGTGCCCAACTATTGGTCCTACGGTAGTGGCAACTACACTAAAAAGGTGTACAAAATTTGTACTAGTTTTGGCGAGCTATATCTGTCATGTATTACGACTGCCGATCTGTAATTCTGTGACCAATCACACATCAGTTGGCCCGCGGAATTAGACTAAATATCCAATGAGTTTTATCTAATTTGTAGGTAGATGGCAACACCAGGGCCGACCTTTTATAGCAACTTTTATCCACTTATAGACCTTCTTTAAATTCATAACCTATGCAGTGGGGCTTATTTCATTGCTTCCTCAATCAATCCGGAGAAAAAATATTGGCAGCAGTCTCTGAAACAGTCTTATATTACTCGAATACAGTGACAGGGCTAACAAGAAACAAAACACGATGTAACCCTTCAATACAGTCGAAAGGATTCAGTCGCATTTCATTAGTTTCATATTTGATAAAAAAGGCACCATTATAGCGGAATATAAAGCACTTACCAGGACATTATGCACAAAATGAAAGTACAAATTCCACAGCCTAAAACAATCTAAGTAAACGAGTTCAATTTCAAATTCAACGCCAAAATGAAACACTGAATCGAAAACAAAACGACGATAATATCGCATTTTTGGCGAATAATGCATCCCTGCTATATTGAAAATTATTCAATATGTAGGGCTTACTATTTCGGACGCTATTCAGATAACAAAAATGTGCCACTTTTCCTCATTTTGTATTCCGGTTAAATATCAAGCTACATGTACATAACAATGTAAAAGAATTTGGCAAAATGTGGCAATAAACATAGCCACAGCAAACAGGAAGACGATAGACATAAATATACGGTTTTACATTTGGCTTCGATGCACACTTTCAGTAACTGTTTGCATATTGAAAAGATCCCAATTTGAATTCATCATCGTCTGATGGAAGTCAGTTGTGTCTCCCTGGCTGGTTTTTTTTAATATCTCACGATGCTATAGAGAGAAGGCAGCGATGATAATAAATCAAGCTGTTGACCGTATAACATAATACGCATAAATCCAGTAATGATTTTAAACACACTACGGTATCGCCCCTGGTCCATAGCCTTGCCCAAATATCAAAGTTAAAAAAAACAGTGTGGGTCAATATTTTTTTAATGGAATCCTTTCATATTCGTAAGTTTTCTTGTCTCCATCCTATGCCTTTGATACCGTAAGTGTAGTTGACACGTTTGGCAGGAGGGCACACGACCCAAGACCCACTAGATAATATCGTATGGATTTCGTCGAGCTTTGAGCTGGAAGCTTTGAGCTGTGTCTGATTATAAAAATGATCTAGAAAATACCGTTTGAGACTAGGCGCAGACGATCAATAAGTACAAAGTGACATCACTATCTATTTTCCCTCGGAGGGTAAAATAACCAGACCTGGCGCATAAATATGGATCTCATGAATCTCATTAAGTGTACATTTATTGTTGAATTCAGTTGTTTTTATCTTGGCAACCAAGTACGCATTATAACTCCCCACAAACTAGTCTTCTTAAATGTGCACTCCCAATATCATAATCCGACTTGCATATTGTAGACAGCATTAACAAAGTATATAGCTGGCATCCAGGAAGTGACAACTTCTTTTATGATCTCACTGCAACATCTGCCGCAGAATAACACTTCCCTTTCGTCTTGTCATTTATCATTTGCCACCGGTGCACAAATGTCATGATTCACTTCATAGCCTGTTGTCTGCTAAGAAGATCGCCCTCCCATGAGTACTACGTTCACATGGCTTTTGATGCAACGGCACTGATTGCAGACGCGATCTGAAACAGAAAAGAAATATCAAACTATCCTTGCAGGATTATTCTGGTAAATGTACTTGTTGTAAGTACACTTTACGCAGGCTGCTTTCATGAAAGAATTGGGCTAGTTATATTACACCTGTGGGGGTACTGTCTCCCCTCTGGAGATGGTAACAATTAATATATATCTAGTAAGTTAGTTATATCTACATATCATATTAACTTATTCGTTGGTACATGTTTTTTTAAAATAGGATTTGACCAAACAGATACTAACACGTAACATCAAGAATGTTGGTAACAAAAAAATCTGCACAACAGGTATAAGCATTACAGCGACTGTTATTTTCGCCTCATTTTGCCCCACCCCCAACCCCATAAAATTATATATATCTATAATTGTCCAAGTCCCCACAAAGAGAACAGCAGCATAATTAAGGATCATATGAAATGCATATCGAAAATGCGCCAGGCTATCAGGCAATGTGACTGCACGCACATAATACATTTTTATGAGTTACCGGTAATTGACGGTTAGGATAATAAAAAGACTTAGGGAAACGTTCGTGGGAATTTAGGTCCTTGAATTTTTCTACGATTTTTTCTACGTCTGAAAGGCATATACATTCTTTATGTAATGATTAAAAAACACTGAATATTTTCTGAAGCCAATGACATTACCTTAAACAACTAAAGAAAAAGCAGTTTTAAAACGTGCATTTAAAGAGAGGTAGACGAGGCCTGAAGCACCCAAGAAATAGCAGGCCTACCCAACTACCAGACTCGGAACCGAATGATCCTTAATTCACCGGTAGATCAGACCACACTACCCGTTTTCAAGGTGTGTGTCACATCGCATTACACAATATCAGACGCGACACCGCTCTTGCCTAGTACGCGATGTGATAGTGACCATTCTCAGCGGGGTTGAAAAGCATTGCATCACCACTCAAAATTTGTTCAGGGTATGATACTGTCAACATAATGCGATCTGACACACACCTTGAAAACGGGTAGTCTGGTCTGATCTACCGGTGAATTCAGGATCATTCGGTGCCGAGTCTGGTAGTTGGGTAGGCCTGAATAGGAGCCAACTACACTGTGTGTTGTTCTTACCTCAACAGTATGGATCTGTGATGCTACTACAAGCGTGATAAGAAAGACCCAGCCTACGTAATGGGTAAAACGCACAAATTCCTGAAAAGAAAGATGATGTGCAGTAAAGTCTCAATCTGATTTATGTAAAAATGTTTGCCCTGAAAGTAATTCGTTTTAAACTTACACATATTCCTTCTTCGGTATCAAGCTGCTTAAGGACATTCAAATAGGACATGACACAGTACTATGTGGAACAGTCTCCTTGTTTTAATGCAGCCGCAAAAATGTTGTTAGTACAGTATATCATTTTATGCATCCATATTCATGGGAATGACCTCAATTCGGGCAAGACAAGAGTTCCTGAAAGTAATAATTAAATAAGCTTGTTTCGTTGTGAATATGCATCACAAAACACTCAAGGACAAATAAATAATGTTTTTATACCCTAGTACAAGTTGACTTACCCATACTTTATCAAAGACCACAGAAGCAATGATAAATTCCAGGAACGCGCCAGAATTTCCTATTCTCCACATCCACCAGATAATGAGCGTGGGAGCAGAATGAGCCAAGTCGGAACGCAGCGCCTGGAAGCGAAGAAAGATAAACAAAGAATAAAACGAACTGTGCCAACCTTCTGTATGTATTTCTGGACTGTCATCTGTTACTGTGACATAAGACTGGATGGAATGGGGTTCTTTGTACTCATTCATTCATTCAGTTTCTTTCGTGGTGCAAAATGACGATTTCCGCGTTCTTTTGACGCGTGCGAAAATTCATTTCAATTTGACTACGACAATTAGACACAAATCATGATCAATTGTTCACAATTGTCTAAAAAATACATACAGTAATTAATTTCTCGACATATATATATATATATATATATAGAGAGAGAGAGAGAGAGAGAGAGAGAGAGATCCTTTGAACAAGAAAGAAAAGAAAAGAAAACAAGGCAGCAAAGCTGTCAAATGTACAGACAAAAAGCAGGAAATAACTATGCACAAAATAGGCTACTGTCAATTTTGATGCAAAAGTACATTATGTTAAACTATAAATTCAACATCAAATTTTAATTATGCTCAACAGGTAATACCAATGAAAGTAAAATGTGTAACAAGCATAAGGCTTCAGGCCCATGAGAGTTCAAGTTCACACTTTGAAAATGTATAACTTACAGAAAAAGAAGCCAATTAGACTGCTTTTCCAACTCAGGCTGCATGCTGATTTTTNGCCTACTCCAGTAGACAAATTTGTCCGTTCGAAGTGAAAATGCAATGAATAAATAATAGTCCCCTACCGTTTACTCGGTTTACTTCCTTTGAATTTTGTCTTAGTGGCCAGAAAGATGAAAAATGTGTTAAAATAGACCTACTTGAGTTTGAAACTGAATTAAAAGTTTTCGTTCTGAAGTTGTAGTATAAAATGAGCTGATGCTTCATTTTTGTAGCTCTAACAGACCACGATATGGTGAGCTTGCACATTATAAATACACAAGAGAAGCCTTAAATACATCCTACTAAACACATTCTTTTCAAACCCATAACTATGTTATTATTTATGTACTTTTTTTATTCATGTTTTATGTCTTATTTTATTTATTTATCTTTTACCTTTTTTAGAGAAATAGCCTTGGGCCTATATTTGTGTGGACGTAGGCTACATGTAGGCCTACATGTATTTAGACCTACTGGTATAATGCCTTAGAGGTTAAAAAAAACATTTATTTGGAGATTCTGCAAATAATAGAATTTACTCTCCTCCAAATCTAGGACTAAAGAATATTGAGTCCAAATGAAAATGCCAACACTGCTGCTCCTTCCATTGTTCCAATCTCAGTGAAGTGTGTCGACTAAAATTAGGGTTTATTTTGGCTTCTTTGTTACCAATGAATTACAAGTGCGCAGGCCCCATTGTCTTTATAGGCAAATTCCATATCAATATTTAATTAAGTTTCGTGATTACATATAAATGCATTTTAATCGTATTTATTGTACAAAATGTTACAGTGGCGACTGTATGAGATTTAATCAGAAGTTGGTCCCTCGTTCATTTATGAAAAAGTTCCAATGAGGTAAAAAATGATCACATAATCTTGTAAAGTGGCCATATCCAATCATATCAGACAATGGCAAGAAAGCTTTAAAACTGTTCAGTGTGTACGAATTAAGGTATTGTGTTAGGAGCGATGGTTGACTCAACAGTTGATGTTCCGTACTCGCCGATATGTTGAATTCTGTGCTCTTATTTTGTTCACTGAGAAACCCGGCTGAAAAACTCAAATTTTCAATGATTTTTATTCCCAAGCAGGCCTTATCATTAATGCGTCGTCATATAGATTACTGTTTATCATAGTCTAGGTTTCTCAAAACAGCGGACCATCGCCCGGAGGACTGATGAGAGCTAGTGGGAATGTTTTTTCTCAAGGTTGCCCTGAGTTTCAATTTTATACTTGAATTATCTTACAGCAAAAGAAAGTAACAAATTGGCTGAAGGGAGTACAAGATATAGATTGGATCAATATTGTTAACCTCATTAATTAAAAGTTGAAAATATAGGCCTTTAAAATTTAAATTATCTTCAGAAAGAATAGGAAAACTAATATAAAATTACTAGCAGAAAATTAAAAAACTTTAAAATGTTAGTAGTCAGTATACGCAGTCCGTACAGACCTGTCTTTTTGCACCTGCAGCACGTGCCGCCAAAAGCACTGTCATTGACAACACAGCTGAGGTTCACCACACCGGGCAGCGCTTGAGCTACTGGTGCTCTTGAGACATGTACAGTCAGGGTGATGGTTGATCCTTTTATCAAAAATTCACTTCTGAATGATTTTGAGAGGAAAATGCTCGTGGTCCGTTTATTTTACTTCTCTACCCATAAGGGATGTATTTCTGTAAAAAATACTTTACAAGAAAGAGCATTGCAGTGCCCGACTATTGGTCCTAAGGTAGTGGCAACTAGACTAAAAAGGTGTACAAAATTTGTACTAGTTTTGGCGTGCTATATCTGTCATGTATTACGACTGCCGATCTGTACTTCTGTGACCAATTACACATCAGTTGCCCCGCGGAATTAGACTAAGTATCCAATGAGTTTTATCTAATTTGTAGATAGATGGCAACACCAGGGCCGACCTTTTATAGCAACTTTTATCCACTTATAGACCTTCTTTAAATTCATAATCTATGCAGTGGGGCTTATTTCATTGCTTCCTCAATCAATCCGGAGAAAAAATATTGGCAGCAGTCTCTGAAACAGCCTTATATTACTCGAGTACAGTGACAGGGCTAACAAGAAACAAAACACGATGTAACCCTTCAATACAGTCGAAAGGATTCAGTCGCATTTCATTAGTTTCACATTTGATTAAAAAAAGCACCATTATAGCGTAATATAAAGCACTTTTACCAGTCGGGATAAGAACGTTCAGCCGACGCGACAGATGGGCATGTGTGAAAAACTATGTTAGCTGCCCTGCTTCCAAATCTTTACTGTTAACATAGTTTTGGTGTATTTTGTTGGTTAATAAATGATAACCACGTAGGGAATTCATCTTCTTTTGTGTATCTATCCTTCAATTCGTTCTCTGTTCATTTTTACAAAATATTTCAGACAAAGCGATCGAGTAAATGTAAGTAAGCGGATAGCTGAATCGAATATGGCTTTCTGAGCCTCGACGCAAGTGACGTCACTCGCCTCAAAGCGCCACCACGCGGGACTATCGTAAACTACATTCACACCTGCATAAAATCGGCTTTAAAAACTAAATAAACGTAAGAACTTTTTTTTTCATTACTCAAAAATGACTTTTGGGCACCTAATGGATAGTTTTAACCCGTTTTTTCATCACAGTATACCTTTAAGCACCAAAGTACAAATTCCACATCCTAAAACAATCGAAGTAAACGAGTTCAATTTCAAATTCAACGCCAAACTGAAACACTGAATCGAAAACAAAACAACGATAATATCGCATTTTTGGCGAATAATGCATCCCCGCTATATTGAAAATTATTCAATATGTACTATTTCAGACGATATTCAGATAACAAAAATGTGCCACTTTTCCTCGCTTTGTATTCCGGTTAAATATCAAGCTACATGTACATAACAATGTAAAAGAATTTGGCAAAATGTGGCAATAAACATAGCCACAGCAAAAAGGAAGACGATAAACATAAATATACTGTTTTACATTTGGCTTCGATGCACACTTTCAGTAACTGTTTGCATATTGAAAAGATCCCAATTTGAATTCATCATCGACTGATGGAAGTCCGTTGTGTCTCCCTGGCTGGGTTTTTTTAATATCTCACGATGCTATAGAGAGAAGGCAGCGATGATAATAAATCAAGCTGATGACCGTATAATATAATACGCATAATTATCCAGTAATGATTTTAAACACACTTCGGTATCGCCCCTGGTCCATAGCCTTGCCCAAATATCAAAGTTAAAAAAACAGTGTGGGTCAATATTTTTTTAAATGGAATCCTTTCATATTCGTAAGTTTTTTTGTCTCCATCTTATGCCTTTGATACCGTAAGTGTAGTTGACACGTTTGGCAGGAGGGCACACGACCCAAGACCCACTAGATAATATCATATGGATTTCGTCGAGCTTTGAGCTGTGTCTGATTATAAAAATGATCTAGAAAATACCGTTTGAGACTAGGCGCAGACGATCAATAAGTACAAAGTGACATCACTATCTATTTTCCCTCGGAGGGTAAAATAACCAGACCTGGCGCATAAATATGGATCTCATGAATCTCATTAAGTGTACATTTATTGTTGAATTCAGTTGTTTTTATCTTGGCAACCAAGTACGCATTATAACTCCCCACAAACTAGTCTTCTTAAATGTGCACTCCCAATATCATAATCCGACTAGCATATTGCAGACAGCATTAACAAAGTATATAGCTGGCATCCAGGAAGTGACAACTTCTTTTATGATCTCACTGCAACATCTGCCGCAGAATAACACTTCCCTTTCATCTTGTCATTTATCATTTGCCACCGGTGCACAAATGTCATGATTCACTTCATAGCCTGTTGTCTGCTAAAAAGATCGCCCTCCCATGAGTACTACGTTCACATGGCTTTTGATGCAACGGCACTGATTGCAGACGCGATCTGAAACAGAAAAGAAATATCAAACTATATCAAACTATCCTTGCAGGATTATTCTGGTAAATGTACAAGTACACGTTACTCGGGCTGCTTTCATGAAAGAATTGGGCTAGTTACATTACACCTGCGGGTGTACTGTCTCCCCCCTGGAGATGGTAACAATAAATATATATCCAGTACGTTAGTTACTGGATTATTTATATTTACATGTCATATTAACTTATTCGTTGGTACAAGTTTTTTTAAAATAGGATTTGACCAAACAGATACTAACACGTAACAACAAGAACGTTGGTAACAAACAAATCTGAACAACAGGTATAAGCATTACAGCGACTGTTATTTTCGCCTCATTTTGCCCCACCCCCACCCCCCATAAATTATATATATCTATAATTGTCCCCACAAAGAGAACAGCAGCATAATTAAGGATCATATGAAATGCATATCGTAAATGCGCCAGGCTATCAGGCAATGTGACTGCACGCACATAATACATTTTTATGAGTTACCGGTAATTGTCGGTTAGGATAATAAAAAGACTTAGGAAAACGTTCGTGGGAATTAAGGTCCTTGAATTTTTCTACGATTTTTCCTACGTCTGAAAGGCATATACATTCTTTATGTTATGATTAAAAAACACTGAATACTTTCTGAAGCCAATGACATTACCTTTAACAACTGAAGAAAAAGCAGTTTTAAAACGTGCATTTAAAGAGAGGTAGACGAGGACTGAAGCACTCAATGGCTAGGAGCCAACTACACTGTGTGTTGTTCTTACCTCAACAGTATGGATCTGTGATGCTACTATCAGCGTGATAAGAAAGACCCAGCCTACGTAATGGGTAAAACGCACAAATTCCTGAAAAGAAACATGATGTGCAGTAAAGTCTCAATCTGATTTATGTAATTCGTTTTAAACTTACACATATTCCTTCTTCGGTATCAAACTGCTTAAGGACATTCAAATAGGACATGACACGGTACTATGTGGAACAGTCTCCTTGTTTTAATGCAGCCACAAAAATGTTGTTAGTAGGGGCCTACAGTATATCATTTTATGCTTCCATAATCATGGGAATGCCCTCAATCCGGGCAAGACAAGAGTTCCTGACAGCAAGGAGTTTCTGTTGAATCTCCTTGCTGACAGTAATATTAAATAAGCTTGTCTCGTTGTGAATATGCATCACAAAACATTCAAGGACAAATAAATAATGTTTTTATACCCTAGTACAAGTTGACTTACCCATACTTTATCAAAGACCACAGAAGCAATGATAAATTCCAGGAACGCGCCAGAATTTCCTATTCTCCACATCCACCAGATAATGAGCGTGGGAGCAGAATGAGCCAAGTCGGAACGCAGTGCCTGGAAGCGAAGAAAGATAAACAGAATAAAACGAACTGTGCCAACCTTCTGTATGTATTTCTGGACTGTCATCTGTTACTGTGACATAAGACTGGATGGAATGGGGTTCTTTGTACTCATTCATTCATTCATTCAGTTTCTTTCGTGGTGCAAAATGACGATTTCCACGTTCTTTTGACGCGTGCGAAAATTCATTTCAATTTGACTACGACAACTAGACACAAATCATGATCAATTGTTCACAATTGTCTAAATAATACATAATTAATTTCTCGATATATATATATATATATATATATATATATAGAGAGAGAGAGAGAGAGAGAGAGAGAGAGAGAGAGAGAGATCCTTTGAACAAGACAGAAAAGAAAAAAACAAGATCCTGTTTGGTGGCTTTTTTATCAAGATACGATTACTCAGTCAAAAAGCTCTAATACCTCAGTCAGGAAGAGGATTGTTATGTAATTATATATTTTTATGTCATGGAATGAATGCCACCTCGGTAATCAATGCGTCCCAGACGTTACAGGTGTGGGTTAAACTAGAGTTATATCTTTTTATCTATGCGTTTATAATACCAGCGTGGTTAAACTCACAGCTGGTTAGTTGGGTTGTTTTCTATGCATATCTTTAACATTAATAGTCCCATGAACAGATGACAAGGGGCGATTAAGCATCAGCATTGTGAGTCATTATTCGGTTCATTTCGATGACGCTGATGCTAGGCGATATGGAATATATGTTGCCCAAACGAAGGATGCATAGAAAAGGCAAATAATATGAAAATAGCAAATGTAAAAATTAAATAGGGTGGTAAAAACATTACAAAAAGGGAGGGGGTGAGGGCCAATCTTACCTTGGGAATGTGTATTTGGGGGGGGGGGGTGTAAAGCGTACACTTTTCATGTAGGGATGTGGAAATGACCACGCATTCTGAACATTCTTGATTTGATCAATATACTTGCCTGAGTTTTTTGAGTAGCATCATTTCCTTCCAAAAGGTTGTGATATTTATGAACGTAATGATCCCAGAAGTAAGCACTAAGAAGCAACCGGAGACCAAAAAGCACAAAATAAATCAATAAAGTTTTTCTTGGTATTTTTTGATCTGAGGCCCCATTGGAAGACTTGGTGGCTAGTCCCTGCTCCGCGGCAGACGATTCAATCTGACTATAATTAGATTCTGGTGTATTGCGCCAGATTCGATAAGTCAGAGCTAGGAACAGTACTCCACCGGCAAGGATATCTGCCGACATGTCCACATTATACCCGAGAGTGCCCCAGTTGGAGGCATATTGTTTATTTTTCGCATGTGCTCTGTACACTACACCATCCAGTGAATCTAAATAAGTACGAAACTCAAAAACAAGAGCTCCGATTTGACGGCAACTGAGATTATCGTCTGCTATTAGTTTGGCAGCAATAACTGATGTGATCATATGGCAAATACTTATCATGTTGGGTGTAATCCAAGGAAAAATGTCACTGAAGTTTGAGAAAAAATTAAAATATTCCGACAGTGGTCCGTACACGTAGTTCGTCATATGGTCGATCATAATATGCTTTACACTTAATGGCTTGAAGGGATCGTACATGGCTGGCGGTTTGACTTGGCGTCCTGGCACCGGACTCCATGCTTGAATGTGGTGTAAGAGAATGATATCCATGATGAAAAAATACAGCGCCAACACGACCGCAGCGAAGTACAAAGTTTTCATGTTCACTAACCCTGCCATTAGTACAATTTCAAGGGCAGCAGAAGTATAGTTCTAGTATTAATGTCCACATTAACAACCGTCTACCCTATTTGTAAACGCTCATGACCCAGTGATGCTGTTGCACTGGAGTGAGGAATACGCATTAACATTTACCATGCCAAAGCGGATCCTAATAAACCTCTAGCACGTAATACTAGTCGTTTCCCTTCCGCACTCCAGCAAGCATCTAATCATGTCCGGCCCATGTTGGAAACATAATTCAGCTTTGCCTTTGGGTGACCGATGTGGATATCTGCTTGCGTTAATTGCCCTGTAATACTCTCCAGCGTATATTGTCTGCCTGCAGTAGCGGGTTCGGTTGGAATGTACAGGCGTTGGCAGATGGTTACTGACTCAGTGCTTAACTAGGTCATGGACAGCAAACCAGATCCTTAGAAACTACCAATGATATTCGAGCAGCAATGATTCTGGGATATTTTATGATACCAGTGGGAAATCTATGCAAAGCGTAGAATGGCAAGCGTTGGACGCGAATACATATTTATATCTAATTCCTTTGTCATGAGAATCGATGCCAAGAAACCGCTAGGAATGGCTTGGGGGAATACCAAGCATTAGGCATTGTTACCCATTATTGTTCCCGATTTCTTGTGATTTTGCTCGATTAGAATTTCTATTTCCCATAAACTGATGGAATGCGTTTGTTGTTCGCAATGTCGGAATGCGTTTCTTTGTTTTGGAATGCATGTACTGAAGCCCCATCGCCATTCATTCTTCATCTACACTAATAATAATAATAATTTTATTGAGCACATAAATGTTTTTACATTTAATGGCTCTCTAACTACTATTTACATATATAGGATAATAGATGATAGTGTACCTCAACTGCTTTTCTTTTCGCGTTCGAGAGACATATGATCAAGTTGTCAGTTATTATTGGACAGGCTACTTAGGTTCTATAGCTAAACTTAAACAAACAAGAAATACTTAAGTCTATGGTATATACCCCATTTTACTTTATTAAAAAAGATTCGTATATTTCTTACAGAGCCCCCGTGTTTAAACAATATCAGTGCAAAAATGATACGTAACTTGTATTTTACTAGCACAATGTGATTCCAACAAGCCGTATTCGATCCATCTTAATACATGCAAAATAAAGATAAAAACGAATACAAGATGGATCGTTTGAACCCTATGTGACATTGAGGGGGAGCGAATTATCAACAGGACTTATTCCGGTAAAACAGATTTTGATCACATTTTCTATACTTCTCCCCGAAAGAGAATGTACATGTAAATTTTTTGTTGTCTTCAATCCATTTTCCGTTTGGTATTGCCAGCATTTTAATATAAAGTCCAAAGGCACGTGATCACAAGCAGATTAATTTATGTACTGAGGTGTAGTTGGTGGTACAAACTCTTAAAATGCAGTTGATCAAGGAGCCATTGTTTTAGGTCACACGCTAAGTTATTTTTAGCAAAACCAAATGTGTGTGCATTTTCGGCAGATAGTTAATTTTTACAGCTATCTATGTATTGTGTTATATGGTAAATTTCTAATATTCTGTATATGCTGTATATTCTGAGTTTCGANCATCGGCATCGGCATCGCCATCGGCATCGCCATCGGCGACGACAGACGCAGGTGATGGCAATATGTACAGACACATCTGTGTCTGTACATAAAAACAACATCCTGTTTGGTGGCTTTTTTTATCAAGATACGATTACTCAGTCAAACACCCCATTTCCATAGATAAGATCGACCTACTTTAGATCGACCTAACACCCTGGGGGTTCACGCTAAATAGCTGTCAGCCGGGCGGGCACGAAAGTTAATTACCCCCTTACAGCTTGTAGTAGACGGGACGGACATTTAAGTCGGATTATCTGAAAGTAATCTAGTGAGCGGGGATAGATCGATCTAAAATCTATGGGAATAGAGCCAAAGAGCTCTAATACCTCAGTCAGGAAGAGGACTGTTATGCAATTGATATATTTTTATGTCATGGAATGAATGCCACCTCGGTAATCAATGCGTCCCAGACGTTACAGGTGTGGGTTAAACTAGAGTTATATCTTTTTATCTATGCGTTTATAATACCAGCGTGGTTAAACTCACAGCTGGTTAGTAGGGTTGTTTTCTATGCATATCTTTAACATTAATAGTCCCATGAACAGATGACAAGGGGCGTTTAAGCATCAGCATTGTGAGTCATTATTCGGTTCATTTCGATGACGCTGATGCTAGGCGATATGGAATATATGTTGCCCAAACGAAGGATGCATAGAAAAGGCAAATAATATGAAAATAGCAAATGTAAAAATTAAACAGGGTGGTAAAAACATTACAAAAAGGGAGGGGGTGAGGGCCAATCTTACCTTGGGAATGTGTATTGGGGGGGGGGGGGGGTGGTAAAGCGTACACTTTTCATGTAGGGATGTGGAAATGACCACGCATTCTGAACATTCTTGATTTGATCAATATACTTGCCTGAGTTTTTTTAGTAGCATCATTTCCTTCCAAAAGGTTGTGATATTTATGAACGTAATTATCCCAGAAGTAAGCACTAAGAAGCAACCGGAGACCAAAAAGCACAAAATAAATCAATAAAGTTTTTCTTGGTATTTTTTGATCTGAGGCCCCATTAGAAGACTTGGTGGCTAGTCCCTGCTCCGCGGCAGACGATTCAATCTGACTATAATTAGATTCTGGTGTATTGCGCCAGAGTCGATAAGTCAGAGCTAGGAACAGTACTCCACCGGCAAGGATATCTGCCGACATGTCCACATTATACCCGAGAGTGCCCCAGTTGGAGGCATATTGCTTATTTTTCGCGTGTGCTCTGTACACTACACCATCCAGTGAATCTAAATAAGTACGAAACTCAAAAACAAGAGCTCCGATTTGACGGCAACTGAGATTATCGTCTGCTATTAGTTTGGCAGCAATAACTGATGTGATCATATGGCAAATACTTATCATGTTGGGTGTAATCCAAGGAAAAATGTCACTGAAGTTTGAGAAAAAATTAAAATATTCCGACAGTGGTCCGTACACGTAGTTCGTCATATGGTCGATCATAATATGCTTTACACTTAATGGCTTGAAGGGATCGTACATGGCTGGCGGTTTGACTTGGCGTCCTGGCACCGGACTCCATGCTTGAATGTGATGCAAGAGAATGATATCCATGATGAAAAAATACAGCGCCAACACCACCGCAGCGAAGTACAAAGTTTTCATGTTCACTAACCCTGCCATTACTGCAATTTCAAGGGCAGCAGAAGTATAGTTCTAGTATTAATGTCCACATTAACAACCGTCTACCCTAATAGTAAACGCTCATGACCCAGTGATGCTGTTGCACTGGAGTGAGGAATACGCATTAATATTTACCATGCCAAAGCGGGCCTAATAAACCTCTAGCACGTAATACTAGTCGTTTCCCTTCCGCACTCCAGCAAGCATCTAATCATGTCCGGCCCATGTTGGAAACATAATTCAGCTTTGCCTTTGGGTGACCGATGTGGATATCTGCTTGCGTTAATTGCCCTGTAATACTCTCCAGCGTATATTGTCTGCCTGCAGTAGCGGGTTCGGTTGGAATGTACAGGCGTTGGCAGATGGTTACTGACTCAGTGCTTAACTAGGTCATGGACAGCAAACCAGATCCTTAGAAACTACCAATGATATTCGAGCAGCAATGATTCTGGGATATTTTATGATACCAATAGGAAATCTATGCAAAGCGAAGAATGGCAAGCGTTGGACGCGAATACATATTTATATCTAATTCCTTTGTCATGAGAATCGATGCCAAGAAACCGCTAGGAATGGCTTGGGGGAATACCAAGCATTAGGCATTGTTACCCATTATTGTTCCCGATTTCTTGTGATTTTGCTCGATTAGAATTTTTATTTCCCATAAACTGTCGGAATGCGTTTGTTGTTCGCAATGTCGGAATGCGTTTCTTTGTTTTGGAATGCATGTACTGAAGCCCCATCGCCATTCATTCTTCATCTACACTAATAATAATAATTTTATCGAGCACATAAATGTTTTTACATTTAAAGGCTCTCTAACTACTATTTACATATATAGGATAATAGATGATAGTGTACCTCAACTGCTTTTCTTTTCGCGTTCGAGAGACATATGATCAAGTTGTCAGTTATTATTGGACAGGCTACTTAGGTTCTAAAGCTAAACTTAAACAAACAAGAAATACTTAAGTCTATGGTATATACCCCATTTTACTTTATTAAAAAAGATTCGTATATTTCTTACAGAGCCCCCGTGTTTAAACAATATCAGTGCAAAAATGATACGTAACTTGTATTTTACTAGCACAATGTGATTCCAACAAGCCGTATTCGATCCATCTTAATATACATGCAAAATAAAGATAAAAACGAATACAAGATGGATCGTTTGAACCCTATGTGACATTGAGGGGGAGCGAATTATCAACAGGACATATTCCGGTAAAACAGATTTTGATCACATTTTCTATACTTCTCCCCGAAAGAGAATGTACATGTAAACAAGTTTTTTGTTGTCTTCAATCCATTTTCCGTTTGGTATTGCCAGCATTTTAATATAAAGTCCAAAGGCACGTGATCACAAGCAGATTAATTTATGTACTGAGGTGTAGTTGGTGGTACAAACTCTTAAAATGCAGTTGATCAAGGAGCCATTGTTTTAGGTCACACGCTAAGTTATTTTTAGCAAAACCAAATGTGTGTGCATTTTCGGCAGATAGTTAATTTTTACAGCTATCTATGTATTGTGTTATATGGTAAATTTCTCTAATATTCTGTATATGCTGTATATTCTGAGTTTCGGATCTATCTTTGTGTCTTCATAAACAGAAAAAGCTGCATGTATATTACTGATATAAAGATCATGACAATACAGGGAGGTGTTTGTTGAAAAGGGAAGCTGTTGCACCTAATAAATTTCAAAGTGACATGTTCCCCTTTTTCTACTTTTTTAACGAAAGAGAAAGGATTCTTGACGTCTACTTCAAGGCCCAATGTACCGAATAAAGTGACTAGAGCTTTATTGATAGAATTTGAAGAGTACAATGATGTTATTTGCCGTGGTCACTCAAAGCTTAGAAAAATAAAAGAAAAAATAAATATTCAATACAAATCAAACTTATGCATTTCTATAACCCTAAACTTATATGCATTTGTATGATATAATCGTATTTTAATACGGGAAATATGCGGGAAATAAACGCTCTCGACAATCTTACAAAACGTACCGAACAATATACAAAACGTACCGAACGGGTAGATAAGCTCATAAACAGTTCGTGGTTTGTAGCACGCTGCTCGTGACCTCTTATTTTACCATGAAATTGTGGTTGGAGTCGTTACTCGTGCCCTCAAATCTGACGCTCGAGTTGGCCAACGGCTCATCTGTTTATAA